CATGTTCATTTCCGTAGCATCTTTTTCGTAGCGTCGTGCAAGCCAGCACCTCGCCAGGAGCACATGAAGAAGATGAAGAACAACGCCATCGTGTGCAACATCGGCCACTTCGACAACGAGATCGCCATGGAGGATCTGGAGAAGTGCCCTGGCATCAAGGTGGAGAACATCAAGCCACAGGTGGATCGCTTCGTCTTCCCGGATGGCCACGGCGTGATCGTGCTGGCCTCCGGCCGCCTTGTGAACCTTGGCTGTGCCACCGGCCACCCTTCCTTCGTGATGTCTTGCTCTTTCACCAACCAGGTGCTGGCCCAGTTGGACATCCTGGAGAACTGCACCAAGGCTAAGAACTACAAGAACGATGTGTACCTGCTGCCCAAGAAGCTGGATGAGAAGGTGGCCGCACTCCACCTGCCGTCCCTGGGTGCCAGCATGACGAAGCTGAGCAAGGAGCAGGCCGACTACATCGGCGTGCCTGTTGAGGGGCCTTTCAAGCCGGACACGTACCGCTACTAAGTGGCGGCTTTTGCCAATTTTGCGCTGCCGTGTGTTGTCCTGAGCCCTTGGCGCCATGACAGGCGTCCTGCCTGAAAGTGGATCCCGAAGGCGACAGGATGAGTCCACAGCTAGCACATTCCAAGCCTGGGCAGAAGAGATCTGCTGAGTGGAAAACACCAGGTGTCGTTCGGGGTGTTGCAACGTTTGAGCACAGTGCCTGACAGCATCGGATCATCGATTGACGACAGTCTTGTTGGGAGTGTGCTGCTCCAAAGTGGAAAGTTTCTGTCTTTCCAGCCCTCTTTGCCCGCCTACAATACAACAGAACGGTCTTGTATGCCACAACAAGACGTATAAGACTGATCTTAGTCAGGATTAAGGGAGGTGTTCTTTTTGTAATTGCGAGCGTAGCAGCTGGCCTCCGGGAACAGTGGAAAGCTTTCAACAGCCTCCTTGCAGAAAGTTCTCTGTCCAGTGGCCCTTTCAACACCACCATGCTCTGCGTGTTGGCATTGTCGGCACCCAGCTTCGAAAGGCACCCTCATCCCGTAGTAGTCTTAATCGCACGGTGACTGGGAAGCATGGCAGACTCGAAGGTGAAGGACATGGGCCTGGCCGAGTTCGGCCGTAAGGAGCTCACTCTGGCAGAGCATGAGATGCCTGGCCTGATGGCGGCACGCAAGGAGTTCGGCCCCTCGCAGCCTTTCAAGGGCATGAACATCAACGGCTCCCTGCACATGACCATCCAGACCGGCGTTCTGATCGAGACGCTGGCTGCCCTGGGTGCCAAGGTGCGTTGGTGCTCGTGCAACATCTTCAGCACGCAGGACCACGCAGCGGCTGCCATCGCCAAGGCAGGCACTTCCACGGTCTTCGCGTGGAAGGGCGAGACGCTGCCCGAGTACTGGTGGTGCACGGAGCAGATGATGACCGTGCCGGGAGCTGATGGCTGCGACCAGCTGGTGGATGACGGCGGCGATGCCACTCTGCTGATCCACAAGGGCAAGGAGTTCGAGGAGAAGTTCGCCAAGGACGGCAGCCTGCCAGATCCTTCCAGCACGACCAACGCCGAGTTCAAGTGCATCTTGCAGTTGCTCAGGGACTCGATCCAGGTGGACAAGACCAAGTACACCCGCATGGCGGCCAAGTGCAAGGGTGTCAGCGAGGAGACGTTGCGGGTCTTGGGTGCTGGGTGTCAGGATTTCGGAGCGATTTGTGAAAGTGCGAAGGTTTGTGCGGAGGCTTCGGGGTTTTCATCATTTTGGCGTGTTGGCTCTGAGCGGCTATGGTGCCAACCAGCAGGAGACCACCACCGGTGTCCACCGCCTGCGCGAAATGGCGGCCAAGGGCGAGCTGCTCTTCCCGGCCATCAACGTCAACGACTGCCGCTTCTTTTTGTTGTGTGATTGTGTTTCTTGTTCTGATAGAAAACCGTGCTTCCATGATACTTTTAAGTCTTCTGCTCGGACAGAAATTGAAACCACAGCAGGACTGCGTTACCAAGAGCAAGTTCGACAACGTGTACGGCTGCCGCCACTCCCTGCCGGACAGCATCATGCGCGCCACGGACGTGATGATCGGCGGCAAGCGTGCCCTCGTGGCCGGCTACGGCGATGTGGGCAAGGGCTGCGCCTTCGCCATGCGCGGAGCCGGCGCACGGGTGCTGATCACCGAGATCGACCCCATCTGCGCGCTGCAGGCGTGCATGGAGGGCTTCCAGGTCGTGACCCTTGAGGAGTGCGTGGGTGAGGTGGACATCTTCACCTCCGCCACTGGCAACTTCAAGATCATCACCCTGGAGCCTGCACCACCTGTCCCAACCCCTAGATATATGCAAGTGTCATGGCAAGTGTCATGCTTGTGCATGTTCATTTCCGTAGCATCTTTTTCGTAGCGTCGTGCAAGCCAGCACCTCGCCAGGAGCACATGAAGAAGATGAAGAACAACGCCATCGTGTGCAACATCGGCCACTTCGACAACGAGATCGCCATGGAGGATCTGGAGAAGTGCCCTGGCATCAAGGTGGAGAACATCAAGCCGCAGGTGGATCGCTTCGTCTTCCCGGATGGCCACGGCGTGATCGTGCTGGCCTCCGGCCGCCTTGTGAACCTTGGCTGTGCCACCGGCCACCCTTCCTTCGTGATGTCTTGCTCTTTCACCAACCAGGTGCTGGCCCAGTTGGACATCCTGGAGAACTGCACCAAGGCTAAGAACTACAAGAACGATGTGTACCTGCTGCCCAAGAAGCTGGATGAGAAGGTGGCCGCACTCCACCTGCCGTCCCTGGGTGCCAGCATGACGAAGCTGAGCAAGGAGCAGGCCGACTACATCGGCGTGCCTGTTGAGGGGCCTTTCAAGCCGGACACGTACCGCTACTAAGTGGCGGCTTTTGCCAATTTTGCGCTGCCGTGTGTTGTCCTGAGCCCTTGGCGCCATGACAGGCGTCCTGCCTGAAAGTGGATCCCGAAGGCGACAGGATGAGTCCACAGCTAGCACATTCCAAGCCTGGGCAGAAGAGATCTGCTGAGTGGAAAAAACCAGGTGTCGTTCGGGGTGTTGCAACGTTTGAGCACAGTGACTGACAGCATCGGATCATCGATTGACGACAGTCTTGTTGTGAGTGTGCTGCACCCAAGTGGAAAGTTTCTGTCTTCCAGCCCTCTTTGCCCGTCTACAATACAACAGAACGGTCTTGTATGCCACAGCAAGACGTATAAGACTAATCTTAGTCAGGACAAAGGGAGGTGTTTTTGTTGTAATTGCGAGCGTAGCAGCTGGCCTCCGGGCACAGTGGAAAGCTTTGAACAAACTCCTTGCAGAAAGTTCTCTGTCCAGTTGCCCTTTCAACACCACCATGCTCTGCGTGTTGGCATTGTCGGCACCCAGCTTCGAAAGGCACCCTCATCCCGTTGTAGTCTTAATCGCACGGTGACTGGGAAGCATGGCAGACTCGAAGGTGAAGGACATGGGCCTGGCCGAGTTCGGCCGTAAGGAGCTCACTCTGGCAGAGCATGAGATGCCTGGCCTCATGGCGGCACGCAAGGAGTTCGGCCCCTCGCAGCCTTTCAAGGGCATGAACATCAACGGCTCCCTGCACATGACCATCCAGACCGGCGTTCTGATCGAGACGCTGGCTGCCCTGGGTGCCAAGGTGCGTTGGTGCTCGTGCAACATCTTCAGCACGCAGGACCACGCAGCGGCTGCCATTGCCAAGGCAGGCACTTCCACGGTCTTCGCGTGGAAGGGCGAGACGCTGCCCGAGTACTGGTGGTGCACGGAGCAGATGATGACCGTGCCGGGAGCTGATGGCTGCGACCAGCTGGTGGATGACGGCGGCGATGCCACTCTGCTGATCCACAAGGGCAAGGAGTTCGAGGAGAAGTTCGCCAAGGACGGCAGCCTGCCAGATCCTTCCAGCACGACCAACGCCGAGTTCAAGTGCATCTTGCAGTTGCTCAGGGACTCGATCCAGGTGGACAAGACCAAGTACACCCGCATGGCGGCCAAGTGCAAGGGTGTCAGCGAGGAGACGTTGCGGGTCTTGGGTGCGGGGTGTCAGGATTTCGGAGCGATTTGTGAAAGTGCGAAGGTTTGCGTGAGGCTTCGGGGTTTTCATCATTTTGGCGTGTTGGCTCTGAGCGGGTATGGTGCCAACCAGCAGGAGACCACCACCGGTGTCCACCGCCTGCGCGAAATGGCGGCCAAGGGCGAGCTGCTCTTCCCGGCCATCAACGTCAACGACTGCCGGTTCTTTTTGTTGTGTGATTGTGTTTCTTGTTCTGGTAGAAAACCCTTCTTCCACAAGTAAGTCTTCGGCCGCAGAAGAAACCACAGCAGGACTGCGTTACCAAGAGCAAGTTCGACAACGTGTACGGCTGCCGCCACTCCCTGCCGGACAGCATCATGCGCGCCACGGACGTGATGATCGGCGGCAAGCGTGCCCTCGTGGCCGGCTACGGCGATGTGGGCAAGGGCTGCGCCTTCGCCATGCGCGGAGCCGGCGCACGGGTGCTGATCACCGAGATCGACCCCATCTGCGCATTGCAGGCGTGCATGGAGGGCTTCCAGGTCGTGACCCTTGAGGAGTGCGTGGGTGAGGTGGACATCTTCACCTCCGCCACTGGCAACTTCAAGATCATCACCCTGGAGCCTGCACCACCTGTCCCAACCCCTAGATATATGCAAGTGTCATGGCAAGTGTCATGCTTGTGCATGTTCATTTCCGTAGCATCTTTTTCGTAGCGTCGTGCAAGCCAGCACCTCGCCAGGAGCACATGAAGAAGATGAAGAACAACGCCATCGTGTGCAACATCGGCCACTTCGACAACGAGATCGCCATGGAGGATCTGGAGAAGTGCCCTGGCATCAAGGTGGAGAACATCAAGCCGCAGGTGGATCGCTTCGTCTTCCCGGATGGCCACGGCGTGATCGTGCTGGCCTCCGGCCGCCTTGTGAACCTTGGCTGTGCCACCGGCCACCCTTCCTTCGTGATGTCTTGCTCTTTCACCAACCAGGTGCTGGCCCAGTTGGACATCCTGGAGAACTGCACCAAGGCTAAGAACTACAAGAACGATGTGTACCTGCTGCCCAAGAAGCTGGATGAGAAGGTGGCCGCACTCCACCTGCCGTCCCTGGGTGCCAGCATGACGAAGCTGAGCAAGGAGCAGTCCGACTACATCGGCGTGCCTGTTGAGGGGCCTTTCAAGCCGGACACGTACCGCTACTAAGTGGCGGCTTTTGCCAATTTTGCGCTGCCGTGTGTTGTCCTGAGCCCTTGGCGCCATGACAGGCGTCCTGCCTGAAAGTGGATCCCGAAGGCGACAGGATGAGTCCACAGCTAGCACATTCCAAGCCTGGGCAGAAGAGATCTGCTGAGTGGAAAAAACCAGGTGTCGTTCGGGGTGTTGCAACGTTTGAGCACAGTGACTGACAGCATCGGATCATCGATTGACGACAGTCTTGTTGTGAGTGTGCTGCACCCAAGTGGAAAGTTGCTGTCTTTTCAGACCCTCTTTGCCCGTCTACAATACAAGAGAACGGTCTTGTATGCCACAGCAAGACGTATAAGACTAATCTTAGTCAGGACAAAGGGAGGTGTTTTTGTTGTAATTGCGAGCGTAGCAGCTGGCCTCCGGGCACAGTGGAAAGCTTTGAACAAACTCCTCGCACAAAGTTCTCTGTCCAGTTGCCCTTTCAACACCACCATGCTCTGCGTGTTGGCATTGTCGGCACCCAGCTTCGAAAGGCACCCTCATCCCGTTGTAGTCTTAATCGCACGGTGACTGGGAAGCATGGCAGACTCGAAGGTGAAGGACATGGGCCTGGCCGAGTTCGGCCGTAAGGAGCTCACTCTGGCAGAGCATGAGATGCCTGGCCTGATGGCGGCACGCAAGGAGTTCGGCCCCTCGCAGCCTTTCAAGGGCATGAACATCAACGGCTCCCTGCACATGACCATCCAGACCGGCGTTCTGATCGAGACGCTGGCTGCCCTGGGTGCCAAGGTGCGTTGGTGCTCGTGCAACATCTTCAGCACGCAGGACCACGCAGCGGCTGCCATTGCCAAGGCAGGCACTTCCACGGTCTTCGCGTGGAAGGGCGAGACGCTGCCCGAGTACTGGTGGTGCACGGAGCAGATGATGACCGTGCCGGGAGCTGATGGCTGCGACCAGCTGGTGGATGACGGCGGCGATGCCACTCTGCTGATCCACAAGGGCAAGGAGTTCGAGGAGAAGTTCGCCAAGGACGGCAGCCTGCCAGATCCTTCCAGCACGACCAACGCCGAGTTCAAGTGCATCTTGCAGTTGCTCAGGGACTCGATCCAGGTGGACAAGACCAAGTACACCCGCATGGCGGCCAAGTGCAAGGGTGTCAGCGAGGAGACGTTGCGGGTCTTGGGTGCGGGGTGTCAGGATTTCGGAGCGATTTGTGAAAGTGCGAAGGTTTGCGTGAGGCTTCGGGGTTTTCATCATTTTGGCGTGTTGGCTCTGAGCGGGTATGGTGCCAACCAGCAGGAGACCACCACCGGTGTCCACCGCCTGCGCGAAATGGCGGCCAAGGGCGAGCTGCTCTTCCCGGCCATCAACGTCAACGACTGCCAGTTCTTTTTGTTGTGTTCTTGTGTTTCTTGCTCTGATAGAAAACCGTGCTTCCATGATACTTTTAAGTCTTCTGCTCGGACAGAAATTGAACCACAGCAGGACTGCGTTACCAAGAGCAAGTTCGACAATGTGTACGGCTGCCGTCACTCCCTGCCGGACAGCATCATGCGTGCCACGGACGTGATGATCGGCGGCAAGCGTGCCCTCGTGGCCGGCTACGGCGATGTGGGCAAGGGCTGTGCCTTCGCCATGCGCGGAGCCGGCGCACGGGTGCTGATCACCGAGATCGACCCCATCTGCGCATTGCAGGCGTGCATGGAGGGCTTCCAGGTCGTGACCCTTGAGGAGTGCGTGGGTGAGGTGGACATCTTCACCTCCGCCACTGGCAACTTCAAGATCATCACCCTGGAGCCTGCACCACCTGTCCCAACCCCTAGATATATGCAAGTGTCATGGCAAGTGTCATGCTTGTGCATGTTCATTTCCGTAGCATCTTTTTCGTAGCGTCGTGCAAGCCAGCACCTCGCCAGGAGCACATGAAGAAGATGAAGAACAACGCCATCGTGTGCAACATCGGCCACTTCGACAACGAGATCGCCATGGAGGATCTGGAGAAGTGCCCTGGCATCAAGGTGGAGAACATCAAGCCGCAGGTGGACCGCTTCGTCTTCCCGGATGGCCACGGCGTGATCGTGCTGGCCTCCGGCCGCCTTGTGAACCTTGGCTGTGCCACCGGCCACCCTTCCTTCGTGATGTCTTGCTCTTTCACCAACCAGGTGCTGGCCCAGTTGGACATCCTGGAGAACTGCACCAAGGCTAAGAACTACAAGAACGATGTGTACCTGCTGCCCAAGAAGCTGGATGAGAAGGTGGCCGCACTCCACCTGCCATCCCTGGGTGCCAGCATGACGAAGCTGAGCAAGGAGCAGTCCGACTACATCGGCGTGCCTGTTGAGGGGCCTTTCAAGCCCGACACGTACCGCTACTAAGTGGCGGCTTTTGCCAATTTTGCGCTGCCGTGTGTTGTCCTGAGCCCTTGGCGCCATGACAGGCGTCCTGCCTGAAAGTGGATCCCGAAGGCGACACGATGAGTCCACAGCTAGCACATTCCAAGCCTGGGCAGAAGAGATCTGCTGAGTGGATAAAACCAGGTGTCGTTCGGGATGTTGCAACGTTCGAGCACAGTGACTGACAGCATCGGATCATCGATTGACGACAGTCTTGTTGTGAGTGTGCTGCACCCAAGTGGAAAGTTTCTGTCATTCCAACCCTCTTTACCCGTCTACAATACAACAGAACGGTCTTGTATGCCACAGCAAGACGTATAAGACTAATCTTAGCCAGGACTAAGGGAGGTGTTTTTGTTGTAATTGCGAGCGTGGCAGCTGGCCTCCGGGCACAGTGGAAAGCTTTGAACAAACTCCTCGCACAAAGTTCTCTGTCCAGTTGCCCTTTCAACACCACCATGCTCTGCGTGTTGGCATTGTCGGCACCCAGCTTCGAAAGGCACCCTCATCCCGTTGTAGTCTTAATCGCACGGTGACTGGGAAGCATGGCAGACTCGAAGGTGAAGGACATGGGCCTGGCCGAGTTCGGCCGTAAGGAGCTCACTCTGGCAGAGCATGAGATGCCTGGCCTGATGGCGGCACGCAAGGAGTTCGGCCCCTCGCAGCCTTTCAAGGGCATGAACATCAACGGCTCCCTGCACATGACCATCCAGACCGGCGTTCTGATCGAGACGCTGGCTGCCCTGGGTGCCAAGGTGCGTTGGTGCTCGTGCAACATCTTCAGCACGCAGGACCACGCAGCGGCTGCCATTGCCAAGGCAGGCACTTCCACGGTCTTCGCGTGGAAGGGCGAGACGCTGCCCGAGTACTGGTGGTGCACGGAGCAGATGATGACCGTGCCGGGAGCTGATGGCTGCGACCAGCTGGTGGATGACGGCGGCGATGCCACTCTGCTGATCCACAAGGGCAAGGAGTTCGAGGAGAAGTTCGCGAAGGACGGCAGCCTGCCAGATCCTTCCAGCACGACCAACGCCGAGTTCAAGTGCATCTTGCAGTTGCTCAAAGACTCGATCCAGGTGGACAAGACCAAGTACACCCGCATGGCGGCCAAGTGCAAGGGTGTCAGCGAGGAGACGTTGCGGGTCTTGGGTGCTGATTTCGGAGCGATTTGTGAAAGTGCAAAGGTTCTGCATGAGGCTTCGGGGTTTTCATCATTTTGGCGTGTTGGCTCTGAGCGGCTATGGTGCCAACCAGCAGGAGACCACCACCGGTGTCCACCGCCTGCGCGAAATGGCGGCCAAGGGCGAGCTGCTCTTCCCGGCCATCAACGTCAACGACTGCCGCTTCTTTTTGTTGTGTTCTTGTGTTTCTTGTTCTGATCGAAATCCGTGCTTCCATGATACTTAAGTCTTCTGCTCGGACAGAAATTGAACCACAGCAGGACTGCGTTACCAAGAGCAAGTTCGACAACGTGTACGGCTGCCGTCACTCCCTGCCTGACAGCATCATGCGTGCCACGGACGTGATGATCGGCGGCAAGCGTGCCCTCGTGGCCGGCTACGGCGATGTGGGCAAGGGCTGTGCCTTCGCCATGCGCGGAGCCGGCGCACGGGTGCTGATCACCGAGATCGACCCCATCTGCGCGCTGCAGGCGTGCATGGAGGGCTTCCAGGTCGTGACCCTTGAGGAGTGCGTGGGTGAGGTGGACATCTTCACCTCCGCCACTGGCAACTTCAAGATCATCACCCTGGAGCCTGCACCACCTGTCCCAACCCCTATGCAAGTGTCATGGCAAGTGTCATGCTTGTGCATGTTCATTTCCGTAGCATCTTTTTCGTAGCGTCGTGCAAGCCAGCACCTCGCCAGGAGCACATGAAGAAGATGAAGAACAACGCCATCGTGTGCAACATCGGCCACTTCGACAACGAGATCGCCATGGAGGATCTGGAGAAGTGCCCTGGCATCAAGGTGGAGAACATCAAGCCGCAGGTGGATCGCTTCGTCTTCCCGGATGGCCACGGCGTGATCGTGCTGGCCTCCGGCCGCCTTGTGAACCTTGGCTGTGCCACCGGCCACCCTTCCTTCGTGATGTCTTGCTCTTTCACCAACCAGGTGCTGGCCCAGTTGGACATCCTGGAGAACTGCACCAAGGCTAAGAACTACAAGAACGATGTGTACCTGCTGCCCAAGAAGCTGGATGAGAAGGTGGCCGCACTCCACCTGCCGTCCCTGGGTGCCAGCATGACGAAGCTGAGCAAGGAGCAGGCCGACTACATCGGCGTGCCTGTTGAGGGGCCTTTCAAGCCGGACACGTACCGCTACTAAGTGGCGGCATGTGGCGGCTTTTGCCAATTTTGCGCTGCCGTGTGTTGTCCTGAGCCCTTGGCGCCATGACAGGCGTCCTGCCTGAAAGTGGATCCCGAAGGCGACACGATGAGTCCACAGCTAGCACATTCCAAGCCTGGGCAGAAGAGATCTGCTGAGCGGAAACAGCAAGGTGTCGTTCGGGATGTTGCAACGTTCGAGCACAGTGACTGACAGCATCGGATCATCGATTGACGACAGTCTTGTTGTGAGTGTGCTGCACCCAAGTGGAAAGTTTCTGTCATTCCAACCCTCTTTACCCGTCTACAATACAACAGAACGGTCTTGTATGCCACAGCAAGACGTATAAGACTAATCTTAGTCAGGACAAAGGGAGGTGTTTTTGTTGTAATTGCCAGCGTAGCAGCTGGCCTCCGGGCACAGTGGAAAGCTTTGAACAAACTCCTCGCACAAAGTTCTCTGTCCAGTTGCCCTTTCAACACCACCATGCTCTGTGTGTTGGCATTGTCGGCACCCAGCTTCGAAAGGCACCCTCATCCCGTTGTAGTCTTAATCGCACGGTGACTGGGAAGCATGGCAGACTCGAAGGTGAAGGACATGGGCCTGGCCGAGTTCGGCCGTAAGGAGCTCACTCTGGCAGAGCATGAGATGCCTGGCCTCATGGCGGCACGCAAGGAGTTCGGCCCCACGCAGCCTTTCAAGGGCATGAACATCAACGGCTCCCTGCACATGACCATCCAGACCGGCGTTCTGATCGAGACGCTGGCTGCCCTGGGTGCCAAGGTGCGTTGGTGCTCGTGCAACATCTTCAGCACGCAGGACCACGCAGCGGCTGCCATTGCCAAGGCAGGCACTTCCACGGTCTTCGCGTGGAAGGGCGAGACGCTGCCCGAGTACTGGTGGTGCACGGAGCAGATGATGACCGTGCCGGGAGCTGATGGCTGCGACCAGCTGGTGGATGACGGCGGCGATGCCACTCTGCTGATCCACAAGGGCAAGGAGTTCGAGGAGAAGTTCGCCAAGGACGGCAGCCTGCCAGATCCTTCCAGCACGACCAACGCCGAGTTCAAGTGCATCTTGCAGTTGCTCAAAGACTCGATCCAGGTGGACAAGACCAAGTACACCCGCATGGCGGCCAAGTGCAAGGGTGTCAGCGAGGAGACGTTGCGGGTCTTGGGTGCTGATTTCGGAGCGATTTGTGAAAGTGCAAAGGTTCTGCATGAGGCTTCGGGGTTTTCATCATTTTGGCGTGTTGGCTCTGAGCGGGTATGGTGCCAACCAGCAGGAGACCACCACCGGTGTCCACCGCCTGCGCGAAATGGCGGCCAAGGGCGAGCTGCTCTTCCCGGCCATCAACGTCAACGACTGCCGCTTCTTTTTGTTGTGTTCTTGTGTTTCTTGTTCTGATCGAAATCCGTGCTTCCATGATACTTAAGTCTTCTGCTCGGACAGAAATTGAACCACAGCAGGACTGCGTTACCAAGAGCAAGTTCGACAACGTGTACGGCTGCCGTCACTCCCTGCCGGACAGCATCATGCGCGCCACGGACGTGATGATCGGCGGCAAGCGTGCCCTCGTGGCCGGCTACGGCGATGTGGGCAAGGGCTGCGCCTTCGCCATGCGCGGAGCCGGCGCACGGGTGCTGATCACCGAGATCGACCCCATCTGCGCGCTGCAGGCGTGCATGGAGGGCTTCCAGGTCGTGACCCTTGAGGAGTGCGTGGGTGAGGTGGACATCTTCACCTCCGCCACTGGCAACTTCAAGATCATCACCCTGGAGCCTGCACCACCTGTCCCAACCCCTAGATATATGCAAGTGTCATGGCAAGTGTCATGCTTGTTCATGTTCATTTCCGTAGCATCTTTTTCGTGGCGTCGTGCAAGCCAGCACCTCGCCAGGAGCATATGAAGAAGATGAAGAACAACGCCATCGTGTGCAACATCGGCCACTTCGACAACGAGATCGCCATGGAGGATCTGGAGAAGTGCCCTGGCATCAAGGTGGAGAACATCAAGCCGCAGGTGGATCGCTTCGTCTTCCCGGATGGCCACGGCGTGATCGTGCTGGCCTCCGGCCGCCTTGTGAACCTTGGCTGTGCCACCGGCCACCCTTCCTTCGTGATGTCTTGCTCTTTCACCAACCAGGTGCTGGCCCAGTTGGACATCCTGGAGAACTGCACCAAGGCTAAGAACTACGAGAACGATGTGTACCTGCTGCCCAAGAAGCTGGATGAGAAGGTGGCCGCACTCCACCTGCCATCGCTGGGTGCCAGCATGACGAAGCTGAGCAAGGAGCAGGCCGACTACATCGGCGTGCCTGTTGAGGGGCCTTTCAAGCCGGACACGTACCGCTACTAAGTGGCGGCATGTGGCGGCTTTTGCCAATTTTGCGCTGCCGTGTGTTGTCCTGAGCCCTTGGCGCCATGACAGGCGTCCTGCCTGAAAGTGGATCCCGAAGGCGACAGGATGAGTCCACAGCCAGCACATTCCACGCCCAGGCAGAAGACAATGTGATCTCTGCATGCGCTGTCTGCAGCGGCTGAGTGAAAAAGTGGGCCAGCTGATCCTTTTTCACACCAGTGTGGAGCAGGCTCGTTAGATCCTGCTTCGCTTGCTGTGCATGAGTAATATACGGACTGAAGTAATTACCAATACCATTTGGGATCCCGTATTAGTTAATATAAATAAGTATAGTACAATGGGTCCCCAAGCGGTGCTCTTATCAAGGCCTTATGGGAAGTTGTCAGAATTCTGGCCCTTTTTTGGGTACCCTAAGTATTAGCTGCCGTATTATATATTATATAATCCTGGACCCTCCATCTACCCTCTATTAGACCCTAAATGCCTTTTATTTGGGACCATTTACCCCTGTCTGAGGGTACAAGGAGTGTCCTGGATAAGGACCCAAAAAGGGACCATAATCTTGACAACCACCCTTATATCATGCCACCGACTGTGGCTCATCCCTGAAGGGCCATGGCTAAGGGCCTTGATAAGAACAGGGCTTGGGGACCCATTATACTATACCTTAACCCCAAATAACCGACCTTTTTAAGGACTTATATAAAGAAGTCATATTAGGGAACCCTAAAAAGGTAGGTTCCTTAGGGTCCGGGTACCTATATATTAACTTATAAGGGATCCCAAATAGTGTTGGTAATTCCTTCAGTCCGTATTTCCACACATCCACGGCGGCAAGGTTTTTTTGCAGTCGGAAGTATTTGACCAGCACACCCCTAAACCCTAAACCCTAAACCCAAAACCCTAAACCCTAAACCCTCCAGTTGTTTGGCACCTGTCCAACTGTACCTTTGAACCCTAAACTCTGAACCCCAAGTCCTAGAAATACAGCCGAAAAACGTAAGCCCTAAACCCTAAACGCTTACCCTAAACCGGCCTAAACCCTAAACCCTACTATGCTTGGCACATGACTCTCCATGCGAACGTATCTAAGAGTGATGATCCTAAACTCTGAAACCCTTGAACCCTAGACCCTCTGATAACTTTCGGATCTTTTGAGGGAATCTCCTAATAGTACCGTTGTAGTCCCCTTGTAGATCCTTTACAGGAGCCATTAAAGGAGCCCCCTCAACCCCTCAACCCCTAAACCCCTAAACCCCTAAACCCCTAAACCCCTAAACCCCTAAACCCCAAGCCCCCCCGCCCCACCTAAGGGTGATGAACCGTCGCGGCTACGGCGGCTTGAAGCTGGAGGTCGACACAGCCCGGATGAGTCTCTACGGAATTGACGAGGATGAGGATTTTTCGGTTGAGGGTTTAGGGTTTAGGGGGTTTAGGGTTTAGGAGGATGCTTGTGTTAAGTATAGAAGCGGAAAATGTTATCCCCTACGTTTTGTATGGTTTTGTTATAGTTATGGGATGACTCTCGACGGAATTGACGAGGAGGGATTTTCGGTTGAGGGCTTAGGGCTTTGGGGGTTTAGGGGTCTAGGGTTTAGGAAGTTTAGGTTTTTTTTCAGTTGAGGGCTTACATATGAGAGTTTCCGAAAATTAGGGGGGTACTTTATTTGGGGGTCCTTATAAAAAGGATCCTACTGAATCGGGTACTCCCAATAGGGCTTTGGGTTTTGACAGTGTTTCGGCCTTCGGGTTAAGGTTTAGGATCCCCAGTATTGGGGCAAAGTTTGCTTGGATTCTGAAAGCCATGTGGGTAGCTGTCAAAATTATGCTCCCTTTTGGGGTACCCTAAATATCAGGTGCCGTATTATATTAAGGACCCAAAAAGGGAACCTAGTTTTGACAACCACCCATGTGAGTGTATTTTGTCCTGCCGGTTCGTTTGCTTCGGGTCTTTTGGTTTCTCGAGGTTGACGTTTGCTAGATTCACTCCTCTGCGACACATGTCTGCAGAGGATGTACTCATAGTGCTGATTCGATTCACCGCGTCAAGTTCCAAAACCTTACACCCTGCCCCTAAATCCAGACTAAAGGCCTTGAGAAATCCAAACCCCTTATCCCTTAAGGCCCTGAGCCCGAATGTAAACCTCTTAGCCGTGAAAGGCCCTCAACCGGAAGCGTTAACCCCCCCCCCCCCAGAGTCCGCAGAAAAAACGAACTACCCAAGCCCCACCACGCACAACTCCCTGAATTGCTTGCTTGGAGGTTCATGGGACTTAGTTAGTACCGATTTCAGCTCGGGTTATATTCAGTTCTATAAGTATAGTTAGGTATATTTATAACCCTAGTTATCCTACCTACTATAAGTCTCAGAAAGTCTCATGAACTTTTCTGGGTTGTGCTTTGGGCTAATTCTTAATTTCCCTTATTTCCTTATAAAGGGAACCTGTTCATAAATAATTTTCAAAGGGTTTAAAGCACAACCCAGTTCTTATTTTTTAAAGGTTCCTTTTAAAGAGTTCCTAGAAAGCTTATCAAGGGTTCCTATAAGGGTAGTTATGGGCTCCTGTCAGGGCTTCTTTAAAGGTTCCTTTCAGGGCACAACCCAGTTTTAAGTGTGACCCTAAACCCTAAACCCTAGTTATCCTACCTACTAAGTCCCTAGACCCTCCATCTACCCTCTATTAGAACCTAAATGCCCTTTATTTGGGACCATATACCCCTAATTGAGGGTACAAGGAGGGTCCTGGTCTCATGCAGTTTTCAGTGTGCTAAGCCCTAAACCCTAAACCCTAAACCCTATGAGTTTTTCAGTGTGCAGGACCTGGACGAGGTCTTCTTGGAGGTCGGTCGCCGATACCCCGGGCGCTCGGTGGCGCTCGTGGGTTTCTCCTGCGGCTCCTGCAGCTTTGCGTGAGTTAGGGGTTTATTAATTAATGTAGAGGCCTTAATAATTAGAATAGGGTTTTTTGTGGAGGCCTTAATAATAAGACTAGGGTTTTGGGGCCCATTATACGATGATTATCATACGGAACCAACCAAGATAGTATTCTAATTATTGAGGCCCCTCTATTAGGGCTACGACCAAAAGCCGGGAGCGATCCACCGATGATGGTCTCAGTGCTCCCGACACATTGACGCAAGTGGTTGAGCCCGGCCTTTAGCCCTGGACCCGAAAAGCCCGAAACGCCCCTATAAGGGCATTTAGATGCCCGTACGGGGCCCATACGGACACTTCAAGGCATCATGTAGCAAGCAAATCAGAAGCCGGGGCCGTGCACTTTAAGGTTTCTTCATTATCACTATTGGGATTATATTCTCACTGAATGCCCCTTATTTAGGACCATATACCCCTATTTGAGGGTACAAGGAGGGTCGTGGTAGAGTTAAGACATGCGCCCAGAGAGCCCAATAGCCCTTAATTGCGGAAAGTAGCTTAAATCATAATATGAATTAATCATAATATGAATCCGCTTATAATTTAAGGCATTTTCCTTGATTCAGGGGTATTGGGATCTCTGGGCAGAGCCCTGGAGGTTTTGCAGTGCGATACGCGGTGGTCCGCGCTCACCTATCTGCGTGGGCAAAGGACTCCCAAGTCTGCAGTTGCAGGCTTTTCATAGGGTTGATGATATAAATCCTAGGGTTCCTTTAAAGGGATCTATAAGGGTACCTTTTCCTGCATTACCAATAATAAGGAATATACCATAGTTCCCATAGTTTAGGGTCCCTAAGGTAATGTTATATCATCAACAGTAGGAGGCCAAGAGGGGTTTTAGTGTATGGGGGTTTAGTAGGGACTTGGGTTCCCATAATAGGGTTTATATTAAGGAATCCCTACCCCAAGAATCTGAAACCCACCCCCTCTTGGCCTCCCACCAGTTTTCAGTGAGGAAGGCATGGATTGAGTATGCTCTTTGTTCGAAGCTCGCTGGCTGACTTCACCACCAGGACCCTCTTTGTACCCTCAAATAGGGGTATATGGTCCCAAATAAGGGGCATTAGGGTCTAATAGAGGGTACTTGGAGGGTCGGGGGACTTAGTAAGTAGGTAGTAAGTAGACTTATAAGCACCCTAAAAGGGACCCTAATTGGGGTTATGGTACTTATAAGTCCCTAAAGTAACCAGTTACTAAGTCCCCCGACCCTCCAAGTAGATGGAGGGAGCCTACAACCCCTAAACCCGTGAAGCCCTCGACCCCCAATGTCGAACTAAAAAGTTGAAAGCTCTGACCGGAGTTCCCAGAGCCTCCAAAACCCCTTAATTAAGGAATATACCTTAAAATCATATTAGGGATCCTATTATAATTTAAGGTATATTCCTTAATTAAGGGGTTTTGGAGGCTCTGGGTGACCGGAGTTCTTGTGGAAGCGATGCATCCTGACAGGATGCTGAGGGTGGATTGTCCAAGACAATTCCGCGACTCCTCTGCGTGGTGCGCCTCACACTCTGCTGAAAGCTGCAGGGGCCAAACCCTAAACCGCACTCGCAATACTAGTAGTATGATTGCTACAGTTCAGGACTTGCTTTTGGCTGTCGTGCTGCACCGTCCAATTCACAGCTACAATTCTGTCGGTGCTCCCGCACTTCGTCTGAGAAGGACCAGGGGTTTTCCGAACCAATCTCGACATTGATACAGAAGGCTGGATATGCTGTAATACCCAGAGCCTCCAAAACCCCTTAGTTAAGGAATATACCTTCCTTGATTAAGGGGTTTTGGAGGCTCTGGGTTATGCCCCCATATTCCAACTTTCTGGAGTTCCCTTTAAGGACTCATATATTATGCCCAGGGACTGTTCCTTCCGGTTCCTTATGGTCAGAAAAGAATCCCCGGTATTGGACGAAGAGGGTCCCTCAGGGCAGAGAGTGAGATCTATAATTGCAAGCCTCTGGTAGAACGTAGGTATTGTTGCAAAGCCTATCATGGAATCTCGTCTGCTTTCTTGAAAAAGCCGTACCACCCTGTCAAGAAAACTATCGATGCCTAAGCACCCCTCTTTTTTGTATGTCCTTGGGGCTAGGCACTCCGAACCCCTAAATCCAGGGCTGTAATCTGCCAGGTCAGCTACGACAACGGCTACTGCATAGACAAGGCTCCTGCCAGAGTGCCGAGACCATACTGTTGGGTGGGCGCCCCAGGCGATATGGGAGCTTCCGAACCCAGAGCCTCCACAACCCCTTAATTGCGGAATATACCTTAAAATCATATTAGGGATCCTATTATAATTTAAGGTATATTCCTTAATTGAGGGGTTTTGGAGGCTCTGGGAAAATACGGGAGCCCAATATAGCACCCTAAGTCGCAGGATCCTTTTTTATAAGGACCCCCACCAGAACCCTTATAGATCCCTTTAAGGAACCCTTATGGATCCCTTTAAAGGTACCCCTAACTTTCGGAAACTCACACATTTTGGGTTCCTTGAACTTACCTTGGGTTAGTCGGGAATGGAGGAATGGGGTACAACTAGAATTACAATTGCTACCATTCTTCCATTCCCTACTAACCAAAGGTAAGATATAGGAGTATTACGGCCCCTATATTCCTTGCTGGGTCTTAGGCTTCGGGTTTAAGTTTTAAGTTTTTGCTGGGTTTGTTGCCGTTTGGCCCAACTTGTTGTAGGTCTCATGGTCTCATGCTGTTGGCCCCCTTAAACTCCAAACTCCAAGACCCCAACCTTACCTTAAGTTAATCCCCAGATGCCCCGCCCTGCTCGGCATTGCGGCGCCGTCATAGAGGCCGCGGGCTCAACCTTTGTCGGCTGCCCCTATTTACATAACCCCTTAAAATATCCGCCATCCTCTCAGGTCTTTTGTGGCCGACGGAGATGCCATGGAGGCTTGTCCAGCGGGGCTTTTAGGCCTAGGCCTAGGGTTTAGAGAGCCGGTGCAGTGACTGTTCAAGCCGCTGCCTGGTTCTGGTGGTGGGGGCTGCAGTGACCGTTCAGGCCGCTGCGCCCCCGATTATGGTTGGTTGGTGGTCGGGGGGGGGTTGGGTTGGGGGATTCGTCGGGCTTTCATGCTTCAGGTCTGGACGTTCGGTCTTTCATTGGGGGGTGGGATTTCCTCCTTCAGTCCAAGCCTGAAGCATTGCACTCGTACTTGCCCCATGCATTGCGCTCGGCTTTCCCCGTGTTCCCCAAGCCGCCCCAAGCCGCCCCAAGCCCCAAGCCTGCCCCAACTCCTGATGTGCCCAAGCCCTTGAGCCCTTTGGCAGTCGCGCCCGCTGCTGCGCTGCCGGCCCGCTTTGGTGCCCAGATGAAGGACTGGGCCTGGGCTGGGTGTTGCAGGGTGGTTTAGGGGTAAAGGGGTCATAGTTTGAGGTTGTAGGGATTGTAGGGTTTAAGGGGGACTAGGTATTTAGGTGGTTTGGGGTTAGGGTTAGGGCTGTTTGCTAGACCAACCTAGAGCCTTTGAATCCCTAAATTCCCCTGCCACCATTCAAGGGAGTTGAGGGTCTGGGGCCCTGGGTTGTAAGTGGGCTTCTGTGATTGGGATTGCAAATTTGAGGTCATTGACAGGTTCAGCTTTTTTGAATTTTGGAGTTGATGGGGCTTTCGATCCGCATCATGCATGAAGCAACCCCGTCATATTGTTGTCTCAAGGTCTGTTGAAGATCAATCCTTCAGGTCTTCCGAAGACTCGATTCTCAGGGCCAATAGGTCTTCGTAAGGCCATTAAGTTAGGTCTTCATAAGGCCAATTTAAATTAGGTCATTAGGTCTTCATAAGGCCGAGCTTCCATAGGAGTGCCATGACCTTCCGTTTGAGCTAGGGGCTTTTTTCGGCGCCGACGCCATGGGAAAGCAGCGTCGACCCAACCCCGACAAGCGGAAGGAGCACCAGAAGAACCGACCTGGCGCTGTTGAGAGATCGGCTGCTCATCGTGATCGGGCACCTCGGCACCAGACATCATCGATTTTCATGTAATTCCGTTGTCATTGTTGTAGCTCTTTATTAAGCCCATGCTCCACGTTCCCTGTTTTCAACCACTCAGGATGAGGCACGCCGTGAACGTGAAGCTGCACAAGCCACGTGGCTGCTTTCCGACGGTTCTTTGGTTTTTTTGGTTAGGGTCTGGGTTAGTTAGTTTGCGGTTGATCATAATAACACTCGTCAGGCTCTTTTGGTGCAGGCGGCAGCGGCTCAAGAAGATCAGGCTGTGCGTCTTCGAGCCGAGCATGCTGCCACTCTGCAACAGCTCCAGCAGCAGCATCAACAGCAGCAACAGCAACAGCAACAACAGCAAGCCCTGCTGCAGCAGCAAAACACACAGCAACGGCAGCAGCTGCAGCAGCAACAGCATTGGCTGGAGGTGATGGCAGCCTCAGATCGTCGTGGCAGGTCTCGGAGCCCAGTGGCTCAGCTATGATGGCTTTAGGAGCTTAAGGCTTAAGGATTTTGATTCCGTATTGGGTCTCTGCTCCTTCTGGACCCCTTAGGCTCAAGAAAGGGAGGCCGCTTCCGGCTCCGGCACGACGAAGTTCCAGAGAGCACCTTTGAATGCATCAAGGAGTCTTTGGCCTTGCTTTCTTGTAGGTTCATAGGCCACTTATTGTGGTGTTGAAGCCGAGGCAGCCAGGCTCGTGCATGACGTCACTGGAGCTACGACCCAGGAGCAGATCCACGACATGGTCTTGCAGTTGAACAATCTGCATGACAATGAGATGCTTCACATGGCGTTCCAGAAGGTGGAGTTCAACCGGGCGTTGGTGGCGTGGTTGAAACAGGCTGGCCGCATTCGGTCGTCTGTGGTGACTTGCCTTTTTCGCTTGGCACCTCTGGTTCCGGTCTCGCACCGGAAGATGCTCCTTGGTCGGAGGGTTGACAGGTTTGAGTTGATTTAGGCCAGGTTCGCTTCCTTTGGCACTTTAGTGGGTTAGCAGTTAGCAACTCATAATTCCCAATGCCAAGGTTCATTCCGGTGCTGGAGGCCTGCCTAGAGCAGGAGACGCCTGAAATCAGGCGGACCACCCTGGGGACACTGAACACGTGGGCACCGGGTGTCTATCCCAGGGATGGTCACAGTGTGCTGCTGGCCTCTGCCGCTTTGTTGCTCAATTAAGTCTTCTGGTTCCTTCTTTACAGGTTATATAGGTGTAAATGCTTGAAACTTGTAATACTTCTGATAATTTGGGGCTTCCTTTCAATCAAGGAGGACCGAAGGCCTTCAAGGTCTTCTGCTGCGGCTCCGGTCTCCAAGCCGGTGGTGGCCAAAGCGGCTGCGGTGGCTGCTCCAGTGGCGGCCAAAGCAGCTAAAGCGGCTGCTAAAGTGGTGGCCAAAGCGGCTAAAGCGGCTGCTCCAGTGGTGGCCGTTGCGGTCTCCAAGGCCTCAGCTGCTGGAGCAAAGGCGGCGCCGAGGAAGGTTTCTCCGAGAGCATCCAGCAGATAAGTTTTGATAATTTAATTGTGATTCTTTGGTCTTGCCACCCCGAGTCCCACACAAAGAAAGGACACGGGAACATCCTCCTCGTCCTCATCCAGCAGCAGCAGCGACAGCAGTGCTGATGAGCGATGCTCGATGCTGGATGGTTTGTGAGCCTTGATCGTCGGTGCTGCCTGTGGAAAAAGCGCGAACCCTCGAACCTCCCCAGATGCCTCGCCTGGATTGTCCGAGTGTGAGCGCCGAACCTCCCCAGCGGTTGGCAACCTAGGGCCTAGGGCTGTTCGGGTCTACAGTTTATGTAGGTTGATCGCAGTGGGGCTCGGTCATGGTGAATTCAGTTCTGGTATTGCGGCCCAGAGCACCCCACTCCTCAGAGCATAAATAGAATTTCCTTCCGACAGGACAGCTGCCGGCGGCCTTCGTTGCAGGCCTGGTCTTAAAGGCATTTCGTACTGCTTCAGTGGTTAGGAAGCTCTTCTTGTTGAGTTTTGCTCATGGCAGGCGGTCTCGACATGGTCCAGATCTTCGGTCGGCCCCTGAGAGCGTTGGTGGAGCGCTGGTTTTTTTTTAAGAACTACTTGGCTCACTTGTGAGGTCTTGCGAGAACCACGTCTGATGTGCATGGCTCAGCTGCCTTCTCAGCTCGGCATTGCATTATTGGATTCCTGAGGTCTCTGCCTTGGGACCTGGGAGATTCCGGAGTTCAGTCAGAGGTCTCCTCAGCTCGCTTGCTTCAGACTGCCGTGGTTTAGCTGCAGTTCGTTCGTGGTCATGTTCTTGCTTTGCACAGCCTTTGACTGCTGCTCCCTGCAACGTTTTCAGTCACAGAGTCCCAACATGACGGCCATGAAGCATGCGTTGGGCAGAGTGCTAGAGCCGCTAGGGTCCATCATTCAGGTCATCACAGGGCCTCCGCTGGGCACTAGGGTCGCAACACATCCGGTCTTCAGGGGCTTTGCCATCCGCCCGTGCAGCCATGACAACACCGACCCCGACGGCACCGACCAATGGTGACAAGAACCTCCCTGCGAAGGCCAAGGATACGGTGGCGGACCAGGCCAGGCTGAGATCCGAAGGTGCTTGGTCTGCACGTGGTCTGCACAGGTGGAAGTGGAAGTTCGAAGTTTCGGCAGTCTCGTGCAACTCAGGACTCATGACTGGTGGGGCTGCCAACAAGATGCCGGAGTTCCAGGAGATCAACGACGCCATGGACGGCGCAAAGAAGAAGATGATGGACAACCACCCGCAGATATACTTGTACCTGTGCAAGTTGCGGGTGGATGTGTCCACCTGGTGTGCATCTTGCCTGCACTTGATCGCAAGGTTTCAAGAGGCATGATCTTCCCTTCGCTTTGCTGTCATGCACTGAGTCGGTCTTGAACCTCCTCGAGCACTCCGTCCTGAAAGACCGTGCTCTGGAACTGGGGCCGAAGCTCCAGAGCGACTCGACTTTGTAGCAAACCATAATAACTCGCGCTGTTCTGCCGAGAGTCCCCAGCCTCCATTCCGGAAGAGAGACACACCGAGAGAGAGAGAGAGCGAGAGCGAGAGAGAGAGCGAGAGCGAGAGCGAGAGCGAGAGAGAGAGAGATAGAAAGAAAGAAAGCAAGAGAGAGAGAGAGAGAGAGAGAGAGAGAGAGAGAGAGAGAGAGAGAGAGAGAGAGAGAGAGAGAGAGAGAGAGAGAGAGAGAGAGAGAGAGAGAGAGAGAGAGAGGAGAGAGAGAGCGAGAGAGAGAGAGAGCGAGAGAGAGCGAGAGGGAGAGAGAGGGAGAGAGAGGGAGAGAGAGGGAGAAGGGAGAGAGAGAGAGACACAGAGAGAGAGAGAGAGAGAGAGAGAGACAGAGAGAGAGAGAGAGAAACGGAGAGACAGAGAGACGGAATTGGCCAGAGAGAGAGTCTCTGAGGACAGGTCATGCGCTATGACAAAAGCCATGCCTGGCGGGATGTCAGCCTCTCCATATCGGCGTACTGCACGGCCTGCGTCATCCATCACCGCATCTTTGCAGCATTTTGATCACGAGTGCTGCTTGTCTGACTTATCTGACTCAAATCCTGTCGTCTGGTGTCAACTCAGAAACGTCGCGTGGTGATGACGGTTGCTTCGGCGACCTTCGTCTGCCGGTACTTCGCTTTCATGAGTCAGACAGCGACGACGAGACGGGCGTGGTCGGCTTTGACTGGGGCAAGCAAAACGTGCTGCGCCGGAAGGCCGGGTATCATGCTCTCAATGATATTGACCATCATGTTGGGCAACATCCCGTTTCAGACCGAGGGCAATCATCGTTGTTGCACTGCTCCACTCACCGCTTCAACTGCTTCCTGCCCTATCACAATCGTCATGTTCACAACAGCAGCCTCAATGCATCACCAGCTTCGGTCATATGCCGATACTCACCATGACTCCGTGCCATCGCCCGTGCCCAGTGGCTACAGATGATAAACAGAAGTTTAATGTGTGTGTGTGTGTGTCCTGTGGCTTTCCAGCCCCACACTGGCAGGATGACCCGAAAGCTGAGCACGATGATGGTGCGACATGGTCTAAGAAGGAGCGGGGTATCGAGTGACTGTCCTATTCCGGCAGCTGATCGGTTGTATCATTGTTGGCTTGCAGGATGATGGGACAGGTGGCTGGGGCGACAACGACCAGCAGAAGCACCAAGGACCGTGCAACTTTTTAGGATGAGAGTCTTGTGGAGTGTTACTGTTGTTGTGCCCAGGAGATCAGACCTGGGAGAACCATGGCCAGCAGAGTAATCATGGCGACACCTGGAAGCAAGGTGGCTGGCAGAGAACGGATGGCTCATGGGATGATGGCTGGCAGCGCAGCAAGGAGACATGGTCTCAGGAGAAGGCAGGATATCGAGTGAATGAGTGTTGGTCTTGGTGCAGCAAACACATTGATTATTTACTACATTTTCTGCTTTGCAGGATGGCACAGGTGGCTGGGACTGGAACGACCAGAAGAAGTACGAAGGACAGACTAACTATTCGTGAGGAGGGTCTTGTCTGGGAGAGTTTTCACGCGGCACAGGACCCTCTGCCACAACGTGGGACCAAGGGAGCTGGGACAGCACGGGTGGCTCATGGGATGCTGGCTGGCAGCACCAAGAAGCCGCATGGTCGCAGGAGAAGGCGGGATACCTAGTGATGGAGTGATAGTCCAGCAAGATTTATTAAGCTGATCGCTGTTTGCTTTGCAGGATGGCAGAGGCGGCTGGGACTGGAATGGCCAAAATTCTCAAGGACCGCTCAACTTTCGTGACGAGGGTCTGTTCGTATGCTTGTCCAACGCAGGACAAGGGAGTTGGCAGAAGGATGACCGTGAAGATGATTGGTCTCAGAAGTGGGAAGACCAGGGCTGGCAAGCGAAGGTGGGATACCGACTGAGTCCCGACAAGTTGATCGAATCATTCTTATTGGTTGCTTTGCCAGGACTCCCAGGACAGCAGCGGATGGAATGGCCAGCAGTACAAAGGCGGCCGGTATCAATGAGTCCTGAAACGGCCTCGGAATCCTGGATGGCGGTGGAAGCTGCCGTTTGGTACAGTACAGACTCTTCCGATTCCGTCGGCGCACTTCGGCAAGAAAAAAAGCCTCCTTTGCTGACCGACATTGGAAATGTGGCATCCTCAGATTAGTCCTGTTGCTCTGCGAATTGCTGCCAGGTCTCTTCCCACTTCGTCCAGAAAGGCCAGGAAGCTCTTGCAGCTGGTACTGGGATGTCTCTTGCAACCCGGTCAGGTCTCTGAGTCTCTTAGTCGTCGGTGGTACCGATCACAGGCCGGCTGGGTTTTATTTTTGTTCTTCTATTCCGTCCAATAGTTGTTTTGCTCCATAAACCAGCTGATGTGCCCGTGTCTGGAAGGTCTGAAGACGTGCGGGTCCTGTCCAACAAGGTGCATCGACTTTCTTTGCTTGGCTGTTGAGTGCCGTTCACTTCCCATGTTGGAGCTGCACCTCTTTCTTGAGTCTGTGGGCTATCAGAAGCAAGGTCGTCAGACATCGTTCTTTCCAGAAGTTACAGTAAACAGTTTGAGGCAAGTACAGAAGTTTGCGGTTATATCATATCCGGACGGTTTTTGAAACTCCAGCTGTCTGGAGTCTGCTGCCATGGTTGCTCGGTGGAGCCAGAAGGTGCCCAAGGCAAAACGTGTTGCCAAGCCCAAGGCAAAGGCCAAAGCCAAAGCGAAGGCCCAGCCAAAGGCCAAGAGCGAAGCCAGGGCGGCGGTAGAGGTCTCACTTTCGTCCGAGCTTCGACGTGAGTCCTTTGACCTGGTCAAGTTCATAGGGGCAGTTTGGAAAGAGGCCGGCTACGTTGCGAAGAAGCCAGCCTCGAATTTGGATGGTGTTCTCAAAGTCGCCTCCTGCTGCACAGGGTCCGGCAGCTTCGCCTACACCCTGAAGAAGATGCTGAAAGTTGCCAATGCAGGATGGGCGGCGGATGAGATCCTGGGCTCCGAGAAGGACGTAAGCGCCCAGCTCTTCTTGATCAAGAACCGCAGGAATCCCAATTGCCTGTTTGAGGACTGACTTGTCAAGCCTTCTGCCCTATGCCTATACTTCGTTTGATTGCATTCACACACGTGCCGTGCCGCCAAGCAGGATGCTGCAGATGTCTTCTCGGAGATGGCGCCCTGCTCCGGCCATTGTCGAAAATGCCCGGTGCCGTTCCTGGAAACGGAGCAACTTTTTCAATCAGGCTTCAGTTGTGCCTGGAACTCGCAGGCGAACCCAAAAAGGTTCCAGCAGGATATCGTGCAGGAGAGACACCCAGAGCACGATGCTTCGTGGCAAGCCACGAAAAGGCACCTCAGTGAGAGGAAGCCATCGCTGGCGTTGTTGGAGAACACTGCCGGTCTCACGCCCTTGGCTTGCAAGGAGTTTGCGATCTCTCTCTCAGCCCTTCTAGCAAGAACTATCCCTTCTTGTTCTTTTGATCTGAGGCTTGCCCGCGGTGGTGGCTCGAAAGAGCCTGCTCTGGCTGCGAACATGCAGGAGTTGAAAGACCTGGGCATGGATGCAAGTTCGGTGGTCCTCGATGCGAAGCCCCTCCCCACTGAACGAAAGAGAGTTTTCATTTTGGTCTCTCGCCTGCTTGGAGAGAACAGCTCGGACAATCTCAA